CATTGAAAGTAAAACAAACAATATTTTATTGCTCATAAAGGATCCTTGATCAGACGTTATGACTGTGGTATTATCCTCCGTTGCGCCATCTGTCGGCGGTTCGACTCCGTTCAATGGAATTCAAAGCTTATGCGTGGTTAATAAGGTTCATAATAAACAACAGACGAGTAGAAGTCATAGTTGGTATGAACTTGCGGGTGGGCATTTCCAACTGGGATGATACGGTGAGCGCTAAAAAGTAACGCACGATTACATTCGACGTAAAAAAAAGAACGTTCACAAAAAAACAATACACAAACAGCCGCTTTAAGAATCTTCTTTAATTTTAAGCAAAAAAGAAACGGAATTTTATCTTTTAACATCCGTCATTCATTTTGTACGAAAAAAATTTTTGAAAATATATATATTTTTTTGGGAATATTAAAAACATATTGGTATTTTATATTAGGTGACTTTCCTCTACTTAAATAATTACATCTCTACTTATCTAAGTATCTAATTACATTTAGACATCAAGAGACAAAGAGAAGTTTTCAACATTTAAACTATACATAAATGTGGGTTTTTCTATTTTAATAGGGAAAATTTTTATTTCAGTGACTATATTGTACAGATAAATATCATCATTGTACTCTGGTTTCGTATACAAAAAACTCCTTTAATATAATATTAATGTTTATTTGTTTTCCCATTTTATAAAATGCTCATTATCGTATTTACAACATTTAGTACTTCGACGTATAGTATAAAATTCTAACTATTGAGCTAACATTATAATTTACTAACTGGATAGTATTAAATATATGGTACTGCAATAATAAAAAGACACTCGCAAGCAAAGGTAACAAAAGCGCCATATTAGCGCCCACCAAAAACACTATCACAAGCATCGAATCCTTTATAATCTGATTCATTAAACACTTGCGCAGGACAAGTGTCGTCGCTGTAATAAGATTAGCCTATTACAGTGATACGCAGCTGGGATTACCCGCTTTACCGCACGCTGCGAACGTCAACTGCATTTCCCCCGAAATTCGCCTTTCGGGGCACTCATAACAAAACTCCACTAACACTAACAGTTTCAAAATTGTCTTACTCATGGTAGTAATATGTATATAAAATTAAAATAGATTTTAGTATTTAAAAAAATACCGTCATGCTGCCGTGCTGCTGCTCGCTGTGAATGCCGGGTCAAGTCCTGGCCGTGTCGTAATTTATTATTAAATGACAAACGATTTTTTTATTTAACACTAACAGTTCCAACAGTACGAACTAGTTTACAAACCCTAATCACCTTATCTAAAAGACAACTGTTCTTATTGCACTGTGCTAAATTACCAACTTTAGGCTTTTGGTGTAATGGCAGCAATTACAACAAGAGCCCGTCCAAAATTAACCAAAAATCAGCGGTTTGTGGGTTCGATTCCTACCGGGTCCAACATTTTACTAATCGATTTATAATTTTTCTAAAACATGTTGGACTTCGTCTGGAAATCTGGATGTCCAATGGGGTAACTGGTAGGACTGTTAAAATTCCACCGAGTGGGTCTCGAACCATCACCCACAGATGAAAAAGCCGAAGTTTAATCGCGTTTTGGTTTCAGTCTGTGGATTTCCAAATATCCAAAGCCATAATGGGTCGACAGCGCATCTTGTTTGGAAGTTAAAGGCCGGGGTATTTCACCTACCATCAAGTGACCCCCAAGCTTGCTTGTCCCCCTCTATCATTAAAAAACAAAAAGAAACAAATGATCATTTTTGTGTGTTAATGTACGATACTGTGTAGTTATAAAAAGATGATTTATATATTTCTTATTAATAAATAAGTTTATATCGTAGGCACAACGTGCGTTTACTAGAGGAACAGTTAAACGTCAAGTCATAAATTATCAAAAATATTCACCATGGTTTTAAACCGTTAAACGTTGTCTAATTAAATGTAAAAAAATACTGTCTGTAGTTTACGCGAGTAGTACACATTTAAATAAAACATTTGAAAATGATTTTTTAACTTCGGCCCGACGTTTCGGATGCTTTGCAGCATGAGTCTTCCCGTGACCAACGCAGCTGCAAAAGATCCGAAACGTCGGGCCGAAGTTAAAAATCATTTTCAAATAAGTTTAACTAATATATCTCGTTTTAAACCGTTAAAGTGTTTTATTTAAAAGTCTAGACAATAGTTAAAAACTGATAGAGATAGAGTAGCAGATTAGTCTGTGGCATTAGGGATACACTCCATATTCAGTCCACCTGTGACCATGGCTGTAAAGCATTTTAATAGTCGCATATCGTTACATTTATTTATAAGAAAACTAAGTAACGTGTTTTATTTAAATGTGTACTACTCGCATAAAATTGTAGACAACACTTTTTTCCCTTATTTGGTGCATTTGCTAGGATCATATAAATACTAAGCAATACGTATAATTCTTCAGTCAGCGAAAGATACCAATAAGTTGAACAGTATTTAAAGTAGTTTAGTTTAGTAGTAGTTAAAATCTATAATACACAACAATTCAAATAAACTGGATCAATAAATAAATTGAATTTGAATTTATATTCATCTGCTATAGTTAATAATCTCTTGTCATTCTACATCACGCCCTTACGTTTAGGGAGAAAAATGGGCGCAGAATAGCAACGCACAGTAGGGCGAAAAGTAATCGTTCAACGCGTAAATGAAATAGCACGGGTCGATAAATTAAACATACGTAACGGAGCGTATAAACAGTACCTTTCGCCAATTCCTCTTTTTAATATGTTGTTTTTATAATAGATGAGTACAGACGAGCAGCATGGGGTTTATTTGATGGTAGATTAATAATCCTAGCCATAATACAATGCGCCGTCGACCTATTTTGGCTCTGGATATTCGGAAATTGCTTAATTTACTAAAAACCGTTTGAAAGAGCATTAAATTAGAATAATCGCATTTTCAAATCATTTATTCATGCAGGTAAATTTACCAGTACGGGCGTCAATACAGTTAAAAACAAAAGATAAAATTTACTACCAGTTCTCAAAACATTGATGTGGATCTAACAAATAAAATTGGCAAGAAACTCGCCGCAACTCTTTCTTCTATTACATTTTACAATCTTCACATACTGCATATTTTAAATAGTCACACTAGGTTCCAAACGTAGCGTTGTTTAATTATGTCACTACTGGTTGCAATACTCTGTGCCATAGAGGGTTAAACGCTTAAATATTTTGATGTCACCACAAACAATAAATTACGGTATTAGGAGATATTTGCTAGTTATTGGATTCCATTATTACAATCGACATGTGGACGGACAATTAATATAATCTCACAGTTGACTAAAGCTGAACGTGAGATTTTAAATCATATTTATTACAGTATGACTAATCTATAATAAACCATCATTATTATTTATTAGCAGGCAAAATTAATCAATTTTAATTCTATACTTAGGTATCTTATTAATTTGAGTTTTTAAATTTATAAGAGTTCAAACTGTTGAGACCTATCATTTGGCTCGCTTAGCATTGTGTTAAGCAAAAGAGGCTCTGGGTTCTAATTTAGTGGCTTCCTTTCCAGAGGCAAATATATTGGTGTATTAATTTAATATTTAAAGAAATCCGTATGTTTGTAGAAATAGTTTTAATCGTAAATGTTTAATTGACGTTTGTGTGTTGTTTCTGAATAAACGTATTTCTATTTCATTCTAATTCTAATTTTTGTAAAACATGCTAGTAAATATGTTCTATCATTGAAAGAGACACAGAAATATGGCAGATGTTTTTCTGAAACGTGTTGGACTATTTCTGCAAATCTCTATATTAAATGGGTTCGAGAACTAACGGAATTCGGTCCAGGTCAATACGAACCACTAATGAAACGGTCGTGAAGTTTAATCACGTTTCGATTTCAGTCTGGATATCCGAATATCCAAAGCCAAAATACATCGACAGTGCATCAAATGAACCTCCACGCTTATCTCCTATCCTTCTATATCATAAAAATAGTAAATATGTAAGTTTTTTCTAAACTGTATGTATTTTAACATTTGTATATTTATATATAATTATGGTAATTAGTTTTATCTATTATCATCCAATCCCAAACCATATCTATATTTTTTCGGTTGTCTGGAATAGGTGGGTTGTTGGTGAGTTTAATTTATCTTGCTCATTGTTTCCTTGTCAATCATTTTCAAATATTTAATGCTAGCGCAGCGTAAGTCGATAAACATAATTGTGTTTTTCGCGCCACTTGAAATAAACAATACGCAATATAAGAATCAGAATGCTCACTCCTCTTCACCATCTGTGGTTGTTGAGGGGTAGTTTATTGTTTTCGATTTTAAGCTGCCTTCATTATTTCTATAAAACATGTTTGAGAATACTAAATATGTACATAAACTTATAAAATAAAGTAAATGTTCTTAGAGGAATCATCGAATATTTTAAAGGAATTTCTGTTATATAGTATATTGTGCTAAGGACCTAATAATTATAGGTAAATCTCATTAGATTTTCATTATGTATCTTATTATTTCGTCCAATTGATTTTAATACACTGATTGTAAGAAACTAAGAACGTTATTCTATTGTTTGTATTAGCTTTATCTGTATAGGGTAAAGAGCTTAGAAAAACATTTTCAATTTTTACTCGGGTCATGTATTAGAACTAAACTTTCCGAATTACTATAGCACCTTATAATAATTGTTTCCATAATACATTATTTACTTAACACAGTTTTTAATGTAATTTAAAGATGTCCATAATGTTTATATCTTTTACAATGCTTACTTACGCCATCTATTATTACAAATTGATATTAAACGCTTGACATTTAAGTTTAATGTCAATTGTCATTTCCAATGTTTGAACATGACAGATGACATAATCAGCGACCATAACATTGGATTGGACTTCGAAATTGAACATTTTATTACAACAATTCAAATTTATTACAGTACAATAAAATGATGACATAACATTAAAGTAATCCTTTTAAAAAATATTAACAATGTGGCAATTATTACATTCGCAATCATGCCACTTATTGCGACAAAGGTATTATACTTTTTAAATGATTATTATGCGGTTAGTTTCCTGTTAGGTAACTTTGCCAATAATTACTAACTTTATAACAATTTCTTAATATTGCAGGTTAACAGCCGTCAAAAGCAACGGGCATTATTTCAATTTGTTGAAAAGCAAGCCATCGGATGCAGTAAAAAGATACATTTCGAAAAATTGCAGTGAAAAACAAATCAAAACTTTACAGATTAGTCCATGGAAACTTTGTACGGGCATAAGTGTAGGATTAGGTGCAAGATTATTTATAGGTGACACAGTGTTTTGTAAGGCTCAAACTCAATCTAGGATTATACAGCGTAGACCAAACGTTCTTGATGATAGTGGTCAATTTGATTGGAAAAGGTTTTTTGAATATCTCAAACCTCATAAATGGTTGCTGGTGGCTGCTGTTGCTGTAAGTAAAACTTTTAAAGAGATATATAAAAGTACAATTACAATTTCATATTTTTAGATCTGAACTCTAGTTACTTATCAATTATTAAACCCTGAATAATATTTACCACGTACTGAACCTTATATTGTTTAATTAACAGTTTTTATCCTGCATAAATATTTGTTTTCAGTCGGCAATGGCTGTTGCATTCTTGAATATCTACATACCGGCTATGTTAGGTGTTATCGTGAATATTCTAGCTGATATGAGACATAATCCCACGGCTGATTTCATTGAACAAATTAAGTATCCAGCCCTTAAAATGATTACATTGTATATTGGACAGGTAAGAATAACTAAAGAATAATCTATTTTATTTAAATTAACGTTATCTACCTAATCTGGCCTTTAAGCTTTCTGTTGTATTGAGGGATGTTATTTAACCATGGTGGGAGGCAACAGCACAAAACCCAAGTTATATATCGTTGACTGGCAGGCCTCGGTCTGTGCATCTGTGCTTTAGGGTCTACATGAAATGTTTTTGTTCTCTTCATTTATAATGTATGCAAGAAGCTATATTATTGTTATAACATTGCATTTGATTAATTTCAGGCTATGTTTACATTTTTCTACATTCACTTGTTGGCTCAAGTAGGCGAAAGAGTGGCTGCCCAAATGAAACAAGATCTATTTGTTTCAATCCTCCAGCAGGATATGGCTTTCTTCGATCAAGAGAGGACTGGAGAATTAGTCAATAGGTAATAAGGAAATATGTTAATATAAATATTTACTGCCTGCCATAATACAAAGACCAATTTGATAGTAACTATAGTATATGAGTAAATGGTAAAATGTTAATGGGTACAAACAACCACATTTATCTTTATTAACTATGTAATATTTTGCTTTTCTGTCCCAGGATAACAGTAGATGTCCAAGATTTTAAAAGTTCATTCAAGCAGACAATATCTGGAGGACTACGGGCTATAACTCAGGTAGTGTTGTCACAATATGTGAAATTTCCAAGGTTTTTATTTTTCTTTCCTTATGGGCGTTAGAGCAAGAAAGGAAATATTTTTTTCTTTAAATACTCTTCCAGGTAGTTGGTTCCGCTGTGAGTTTGCTGGTTATATCACCCCACCTAACCGGATTAACTATGCTTTGTGTCCCAACTGTGGTCATCGGAGGAACATTCATAGGATCACTTTTGAGGAAGTTGTCGAGAGAAGCGCAGGCTCAGGTTTGTTATGATAGAGAAAAATATCCTTAAAAAATGATTCTGCGGTAGACAAATGTGGTTTTACTTACTTACACTATCTGTGTTCGCGACTTTGTCCGCGTGAAATACTTATATTAGTCCTTTATATTCTTCATTGTTTTCGAAAACACCCGACTTTATAAATTGTAGCCGCACGACGACGACGACCACGACCACGACGTCCTCTGTATCTCGTTGCTCTTGTGAGTTAATCTTAAAAGATAGATATATACTGCGTGGACGGTTTTTTTACATAGTTATTTTGTTTCTTGAATCCGTTTTACCGCGCACGCATCTTTGCTGGTTTAAAGATTAATAATTTTCTTCGTTTTGTACACATTTCCCACTGTGTCTTCGCTTCTATTAGTTGCAGCGTGATGTTTTATAGCAATGATTTAAAAAATCATTTTCCCTTCGAATCAGAAGTTTCGTAGATAAGCGCGTTTAAACAAACACACTCTTCAGTTTTATAATATTAAAATAGATTAACGGTGGAACAATTAAGATTGTACAAAGAAACAGCAAGATTCGAAGGAACATAGTTAGAGTCGGATAGCCCAATGACCACTTCATCCATTTCCCCATTCCCCGTCGCCCTCAGACATTCCCCCGGAATGGGGAAATGAGTGAAGTGAAAATAATAATAATGTCGTATCCACAAACTAATGTAAGTTATTTTCAGATAGAAAAAGCAACGCTCGTGGCTGAAGAGGCGATAGCGAACATGCGGACGGTGCGAGCGTTCGCCGGAGAAGAGAACGAGGCGAACATGTTCGCTGAAGAGTGCGAGACGGCAGCACATCTTAGCATGGAGCTGGGTTTGGGAGTCGGTCTATTCCAGGCTGGGACCAATCTGTTCCTTAACGGGTAAGGCGGTATCCCAACGAGTTATTATATAAAATGTATAAGTTAAACTCATTTACAAATTATTGTAACTAAAGTCAAAGTCCAACGTTTCGGGATATTTCCAGTTTAAAACCGACAAAAGTGTTTTATTTCAATTAAGACACTCGCGTTAACTACAAACAGTACTTAGTTATGCATTAATTACTACAGAGACCACGAGAAAAAATCTTTTTAACTGAATACCATTATTAATTATGTTGTACATGAACCGTACATATACATATTAAACTTATTTGAAAAACATCCGAAACGTCGGGCCGAAGTAAAAATCATTTTCAAATAAGTTTAACTAATATATCGCGTTTTAAACCGTGTTTTATTTAAATGTGTACTACTCGCGTAAACTATAGACAGTATTTAGTAATTATGATGGAAAATTATTTTTAGAGTAACTTTTTGTAGTTACAAAATATTGTTACAAGAAGTACTGAAGTCATTTACTTGAAAAATTCTAAGTTCTATTTTAGTAAAAAAATATTTAATGGGGGTTAAAGTATTTTTATGAAATAATACATTTCTTTATAGTGGAGTAGTATTGTAAAAGAATTTTGAAATAAATTGAAAAAATAAAAAATAAAAAATAGTAAAATTAATTCAAATCAATCAATGTAAAACAATTATTTTTATTTTAGCATGGTTCTGGCAACAATGTTCCTGGGCGGTCACCTAATGTCAACCGGACAGATGTCAGCCGGTGACGTCATGGCGTTCCTCGTCAACGCACAGACTATACAACGTTCCGTCGCTCAGATATCGTTACTTTTCGGTTCAGTTATTAAGGGCCTTAGCGCGGGGGGAAGAGTCTTTGAGGTGAGTCACAAAATGAAATGACATTTTAAGCAAGTTATGACAGAACAAACTCGATTTATAACGTGTAAAAAATAAATCTAAATAAAACACTAACGGTTTTAAACATGTTATATTAGTTTAGTTAAACTTATTTGAAAATGATTTTTAACTTCGGCCCGACGTTTCGGATGCTTTGCAGCAGCCGTGGTCACGGGGAGACTAAAGATGGAGGTTGTCTGACGTCGAAGTAAAAATTGCTACGCTATTTAAATTTCACAGTATTTAAAAAGACATCTTTTTTTAACAATTAAATGTGTAGAGATCAAAAATTGTTTAAAAAAAGTCGACAACAGCAGTGATTTGTATTTTTACTCCTTGTATAATTAATCGAAATATTTGTCATTCTTGTACTATGTCATACTTTAAATTCTCATTACAGTATTTGTGTGTTCCCCAAAATGGCTGTATAGATTTTGTATATTCATTTTCTTTTACTACACATACTTACGCCCTTACAATAAGTTGCTAATTAATTTTCTACCAAATGATTCTCAAATGTGCAAAAAAACATTCAACAGGTAAGTAATCTAGAAGAATTGTATATTTAGCGATATGTAATTTTTATGATTCCAGTACATAAACAAGACACCTAAAATGGATACATCAGGAACAAAAACAATCAAATACCACGAGTTCCATGGTGATATTGAATTTAAGGATGTTACCTTCGCTTACCCGACAAGACCTGATGCGGTGAGCTATATTTCTTTATATATCTTAATTCATATGATGGCATTATATAAGAAATCTACTTAGATCTAAAAAAATCGGTGACAAGGGCGGGCCTTGAACTGGTATTAACAATATTTCGTGCTGTTGCTCTAAAAAATTAAGCTACCATGTCAATGAAAATATCACGATTAAAAAAAATCTAAATACATTTTTGAAGGTAGAATAATGGAAATAAAAATGTTTTTTTCCAAACTACCTTCAAATAATTATTCTAACGCACACAATTTAAACGAATATAACTATAGTGACAATTCAATTTCTTAAAACAGAACGTTGTACTGTTTCAGGTGGTGCTAAACAATTTCAACCTAAAAATACCGGCAGGCAAAACAGTTGCAATTGTGGGTAGTTCTGGTAATGGAAAATCTACTATTGCGGCTTTGTTAGAACGGTTTGTACCAATTTCCACTCGCTAATTGCCTCGTCTACCGTCAGCAATTGTATATTTACAAATTGAAGATAGATTCTAATTTACCTGTACATACACGGTTCGGGTGACTTGTAATAACTATTCAATATTTATAGAAAGTTTTACCTACAAATAAAACTACCTTTTATCTTACTTTAACATTCGGAATCCATACCGATTTTCAACCAATCACAAGTCGCTTTACCCTTTCCATATCATACGCCCTCTCTAGCTCTTAGAGCCTTTGTGCACTACTGTTATGGTATTGAACTATAGATTTTTATTTATTTACTATAATAATTATAAACTCAGTTTAAAAAGTCATAAAAATGAATTTGGATTTATTTCCAGTTTCTGGTTTTTTCCAGATTCTATGACGTAGATGAGGGTTCGGTGACAATAGATGGCGTTGATGTGCGAGATATGGATGGAAAATGGCTCCGCGGTCGAGCCATTGGACTGATAAGTCAGGAACCAGTTCTGTTCGCCACCACCGTCAAGGAAAATATTCGCTATGGGAAACCTGAAGCTACTGATCAAGAGGTATGAACGATATTGAAAATGGGCTTGTTTATATATATATCTTGTAGTTAGAAAATATTGTTGAATATCGTAGCATAATAATTATTAACGCGTTCTTGAACGCAACGCTTGCGCATGCACATGATGTTGGCACATTGCGCATGTAGGGTGTTGTATTATATCAAATATAAATAATAGAATATTCTCTATAAATTAAGATTTCTGTCCCGGTCCAAACACCCTTCGCTATTATCATTTTATATTCTTTTTAAATCCAAAATATTATATACAAAATTAAAGTACATTTACTACTCTTTCTTTATTATCCTTTTTTGAAACTAGGTCTACCGTGCCGCTCAAACAGCAAACGCAGAAGACTTCATACGTAACTTCCCTGATGGTTACGACACTATGGTTGGAGAGAGAGGGATGTCTTTAAGTGGGGGGCAGAAACAGCGGATAGCTATAGCTAGGGCTGTATTGAAAAACCCTCCTATTATGATCCTTGACGAAGCGACTAGGTAAAGCTGTCAAAGTTTAATATAAAAGAATAAGCAGTTTGTACTAATTCAGCTACCGTGCCTAATAGAACAAAAATATTTTGATCGATTATTTAGCCAAAGCCCTACCTTGCCACCAAAACTTCATTTCGGTATGACATTTTATTCATTAGGTGATACCATAATGTGCTTGCTGTCGTAGAGAAGAATATATTGGATACCTATGATATAAAATGTGAAATTACTATGGACTAGTTTAATATTTATAATAATTCTTCTTCTAGCGCTTTGGATGCGACCAGTGAAAAGGTGGTGCAAACTGCGCTAGAGACTGCGTCAAAGGGTCGTACTGTGTTAGTAATTGCGCATCGACTGTCGACCGTCATGAGCGCAGACATAATCGTAGTGCTTAGTAAAGGACAGATTGTAGAGGTATGTTTCTTTAAATATATCAATATAAAAAATCTTTTGAACAACGCCATCTAGCGGTAAACAATGATAAGTACGTTGTGACATAAAAGCTTCTATGCAGCTTTGATAATATAATTATTAAGCAGTCCCCGATTTATAGATTTCTGTTCTTTTTTAATTCCGAGGAGCAAACATAAGTTAACAACTTTTCCTATTGATTTTTTTAATTTAAAATTTTATTTGATTTTAAAATTACTTGTTTATTAAAAATCGACTGAGTTTTTTTAAATATTATTTAATAATATTTTTTAGCCACTTTTGTTGCTTAGAGTATGGGGCCTCTAAATGTGGCCCTGTTTTTAATTACTAATTTCGAGTTTGTAACACTTATAGATTTTTTTTACTCTTAAACGAACCTGTGATAGTGTTCCTACTACTAGCGTCATAAAAATATAATAATGAATCCACTCTAATTATTATTTAATAGATGGGCAACCATGAACAACTGAAGAAACAAAAGGGACATTACTGGAATCTAATTAAGCAACAGGACCAGGAATCGAACGGAAGATCCTTATAACTGATCCAAATAGAATAAGTAGAACAATTTTTATTGAATTTATTTATTTTTGTTACGAAAATCTCATTTTTTATTTGGGTTTTTGGTTGTTTGTTTTGATGGTTGGGGGTGTATTTTGGCTTGTTTCTGGATAAAGCTTCAGTCTTTAATTATTCAATTTTACATGTACTCTACGCTCACAATTATTTGCTATTGTAGTCTAGATAGTTCTAATAGAAAAATTGCACTATCAAAATTCTTTACAGTAACTAAAGGAATTTGGCAAATGTATTGAATTATTCCGTAATAAGTTATCTGTATTTTATGCGAATATAGACATTAAAATAAATCACTTTTAACGGTTTAAAGCGCAAAGTATTAGTTAACTTATTTTTGTCCCGACGAGGTGGCGCTAGTGTAGCACATTTGACTTTGACGTTAGATACACCCTCCATTTATAGTGATTGCCACAAAGCATCCGAAGCGTCGTTCCGTAGTTAAATTAAAAGTAAATTACCTTATATATAACGCGTTTTAAACCGTTAAGCTAAATGTTATTTCATGTTTATTCAGTGCCGCACAAATTAGTTTTGACAATGAATTTGTATAATTGCTATTGGCATCTCTTTCTATAGTGGAATAAATACTTGTGTTCATCTATAAAATTTAATTACCACGCTAAAGATTAAAAGGTTCTTAAGAAATAGTTATTAACAAAAAGACATGTATTTTACTACAATAAGAAATATAAATGCCTTGTTGAAGCGCGAAATTAAATAATTGTTATAAACAATCAGGTTTTATTACGGTTAATTGATCTAATGATAGGTTGTGGGCTTGATTTCTACCGAGTCCGACATATTTTCAATTTATAATTTAACTGGAACATGCTTCACTTCGTCTGCGAATTTGAATTATCAAGATGGTATCAGGAATATAAATTTAAGAATCCGGTTAAGTTTAATTGCGTTTTGGTTTCAAGCTGTGAAATTCTGAATGTCTAAATTTAAAATAGGTCAGAGCACATCGTATTTATATCTTATGGCTGGAGTGTTTCAGTTCAATCAAAGTTCATCAAATGTAGACGGCGCATCTGTCCTTCTTGCTTTTAGTCACCACTACTTGATTTTTAGCTTTTTTCGACGTCCCTTACCCGAAATATCTTTCCTTTAAATCGGTTTCCCTTATGTCCGATGTGGAGTGGTCATATCTATCACTTGCATTGCCGTTTGGTGCTTTTCACTAAGAAGTAGTTGATGAGAAATTCGAACCCAAGAATATTAGATACTGGGCCCAGTGGGTCAGACATGTGAGATGCTGAATGTACTAAAACAAGATCTCCGAAGAAATATTTATTGCATACAGAATCACCAAAAATTATTTTGTACAGTTAATAGTTGAATAACATCGACAAGTTATTTACATTATCTATGGAACTATTATACGCTATTACGATAGTTTATTTACAAACAATTTTACGTTTAGAATACATTCCGAGTAAATTCAAAGATCACACCGCAGAATAAGAAAACAAACAGTTGGTCATACAAGTAGTAAGTCTTTTAATATGCAATATCAATGAACAAGCTGAAGTTAATATTAAAATATATATATACATAGTGTATTTTTTCTAACTTGGCACTTTTTGTTAAAGTAACAAAATTTTCAACATGAAATCGTGATATTCTCACAAGGTTTACATTGATTTACACTAAAAACACTCTGGGATACTAGATTGTATATTAGAGTACCTCACATCTCAAATTCACGTGTAAACCACAATTACCTATGTTATCTGTGGCAACAACCACCCTTATAAAAGGTCTTCATTAATTCTCTATGGTAATCGGCCATATTTGTTATGATCTTTTGCCAAGTTAGAAAAAATACACTATAGAAAGAAGTAATTTCTATCAATCTGTCTCAAGAGCTAACAGCCACCACGATGCTTTAGTGGGCTTTTACTAGTAGTAAATAAGTCATGACAGCTGGTACCAACGTAAGGTGTTCTTCGAAGCACGAGCACGAGTAAAATATATATTAATCGCAAGTTAGAACTAAAGTACATAGGAATGTATATAATTTCAAACATAACAAAACTTATCGTTAACCAACTAATGTATTCACATTTATTACGCGATAATTTAGTACTTATTTAATACAACCTTACCTAAGTTTTAATTCCTGAGAATTTACATTCTAAAACTTTGCGCTTGAATTTTTCAATCGATTGGAGCCAACAAATCTTAATAATTATGGATTTTACAAATATTTATTATGTCATTAATTTTGGAAGGTGTTTGAGGCCTTAGAATAAGATGGTATATTTTCATAGTTTTCAACTACTAAATAACAGACAAATATTGACAACAAATACTTTAATTAAGTTAATGTATGAATATATTTTTAATCTATATATAAAATAAATTGTATTTTATCATTATTTTCAATCAAAATAGATTTTTAAATTATTTAAAATAGTTTATCTAATTTTATTCAACACCAGCTACTCTGTCGGACACAAAACAAACTAAACTTGGTTCAACATAAATGTCAACCATACTTATGCTAAGGCCAGTTACAAAACATAGAAGTTCAAACTTATTACAATTTATCTCACAGACTATAATATTAAGAATAATCGTATCATACTATTTTTGAGCTAAAATAACTTACTTAATTGACAATCGTCAGAATATCGTAATATTGAAACACACCAGTGAACTTTGTACAGTGAATATTAAATTTTTAAAGTATCGGGTCGTCGGGTCAAGTGTATCTGTTATTTATTGTAATCCAACTCGGACTCGTTAAGGGTATCCGTAGTAATAAAGTAAAGTAAATCCGGGTAAAGTAGTAGTAGTGTAGACTAGGTAACGAACACAACTATTTTATTAATATATAAGCCTTTAAAGAAAATTAAATACGATTTTTTTTTCTCCAGTCCGTTGAAAGAAAGATTGGTAAGTGACGTTTTATACCTATTTAGTATGAAAAAAAAAGATTTACTTTGAGTCAACAGAAAAAATAATCTACAACTAACAATTCAATAAAACTTCAACATTCAGCATTGCCTCTTCAGACAACACTGAAACTACTAAGATTTCTAGAACTTACTACGAGTCTTTATTACTGTGCAGTAAATAAATGGATTCGAAAATTTCACATCAATCCGTTACCCTAATTTAAAACCATATCAATAACGTATGTATAATTCAGTTTAAACTACCTACTTATATTTAATGAAGTTACTACTGTATTACGTATTAGTTTAATGTCATTTTCGAGTTTAAATTCATTTACAGGGTGTGTTTATAGTCATAGTTTATTATGTACAGAGAAAATTATTGTTGATGTTTGATATTATATAAATAATACTGAAATCTGCTTACTACAATGTAATTCATAACTTCTACAACTGCAAATATATATATATTACAATTAGAAAAGTAAGATCAAATGTTTGGTTACTAGTGAGACTATCCTAAACAAATGAACTGGTTAGTTGCGACATGGTAGACATGGTAGACCTTTGAATTATATACACTAAACACGGCTGAAAACGGAATTACGTAAAACTTAACTAAGGTATTTCGTGTATTAAATTGTCTTTAACATACGTATCTATTTAGTTCAGTCGCTAGATAGGTAGGTAAACCAAGTCATTAAATATGGTTAAGGTTTGAAGACAGTGTTAAGTTTTTCAACGAATAACTAAGATAAAATGATAAACGTTTTTTCAGTGGCGGCGTTTTTGAAAAAATCCCCTCAAAAGTTTGTTCAGCGGAAGTGACTTAGACATTGTAATTTAATAACACTATGAATAGAGAATTTCTCTTTATGTACTAATATTAATTCAATATCCATTTCACATTAAATCCTTTTCATCGTAATTCAATTCATCTGTACACTATTCCATACTGTATTTTCTATACCATACCTAGTATCGCAAGAGTAACAAATAAGGGAAGCGAAACGTAATAATTCTTCGCGATCTATCGTCATCGCACGACAAAATGTGCCAGCACTGAAGCAAATAACAAGATGCAGGTAATACTCGAAGTTATGCCATGGATGGCGCTAGTGTTGCGTCGGAGGATCGCCGCCATTTTGTTACCTGGAAATGACGTCAGAGTACATTAACAAAGATGTTCAAACTAAAAACCACATAATTTATTTAATAAGGCTTACTAACTATGTAGGTACACATCATAATTTAAACTACTTAAGCTGATTATAATCAGTTACATATAAATGTAACTTAATGTTACTATATAAAGAATATATAGGAGAGGCTTTTAAAATTAGTTTTTAATTATTTTTGCTATTCACTTGTTTCGTTCACCTTGCGCATCTATTTTGTTTTTTGGTTGTATTATTTGTTTTTTGTTGCCCTACAGAGCTTGGTTTTTAGTGATATTAGGGGGGCTATTGGATTAATTCTAGTCAATTTAATACATATTTTTAATTTTTTAGTACTTGCAATGTCTAATATCTAAACTTTAAAAAGTCCCCATTAAACTTTAGAAAACAATGTTTTGTGTAACGAAGCTGGAAGTAAACCGTTTTTTAGCGTCGAACGAGAAATATTTCTTAAATTATCTTTTTGAAAACTAGTATTTTTCACATGATATTGATAAATTACAAATCGATAATTTAATACGCAAGTGTTAAGGTTGTTTAAAATAATCGACGATGACGTGTACAACACGGTTAGAGCAACATCACCGAACACTGTGGATGCCGGTTCAAGACCGGCATCCACAGTGTTCGGTGATGTTGCCCCGTGGTGTAAATTAGTTTCAATCTATTATCGATTTTTAACTATATTTTTATTATAACTGACTGTGTCAACAAAACTACTCGAGATACTAGGCGATCAGCAAGATCTGAAGCTGAATATACTTACTGCCTTCAGACACAAATACATGAATAGACGCCGGTTCGGTGTTACTAGCGCTGCAAGTGTAGTTCCCGGAGTCTTTAAGCGTGGCCCCGCGCACAGTCAGCCGCGACTGTGTCCTGGCACCAGGTTCTGTCTCCACCGTAATCCCACCGCGTGTCGCGTCGTAATTGATCATCCTATCGTTGTGGTACCAGAAGACGTATTGCGGCGGAGTCGGGCTCTGGAGTGATCAAGTGTAAAATCAACACGCTTTATAAATTCTGTTATAATAGCTATATCTACAATAGATAAGTAGATGGATAAGTCTAGTTCGTTGGTCTAATGTCACAATATAGAGTTACAAGTTTTATCTTAAATAAGGTCTTAAAAATACAATTACTAGAGAGATGAACAGTAGTCTGATCAACTACTTGCCTGTTAAGGAACGGGTCAGTGAAACGGACACAGAAATGTGTTCGTCCCATGTTCCACCGGGGGAAAACGGGAATTCACATAAAAAGAGAAAAAAAATGTTTTTAATCAATTTATAAGACATGTTGAACTGCATAATAAATAGGTAGGAATAACGAAATCCCTGGTCAAAAACAATTACATAAACTGTGAAACATAAACGCGTTTCCGAATTCCGAAGATTTCCGAATATACTAAGCTAAAATACGTCGTCAGTATGGTAGGATGACATAAGGCTGCTGCCAGAGTGGCCTAATAACAAAAACCATGATTACCAATAAAAAGGAAAATAAAAATGCGCAATTAAAGAAAATGAATATGTACTATTATTTGTGCAAGAATTATGTTAACAAATGAACTTTGGAAATCTGGATAATAAATGGGTGGTAGAAAGAAGTTTCTGGGTCACGAGCCACTACAGATAAAAACAACAAAACGCGTTTAAGTTTCTATCTGTATACGGCAAAAAAGGTAGACAACACATCTTGTTTAAATAATAAGGCTGGGGCACCTTCCATCGGTTGAACCCCGTGTTTGTCTGTCCTCTAACTAATAATTATCTTATTACAGCGAATGAGTTATATATCATGAACTCATAGTCTTATACGAATATATACCAACCTTTTCAACAATGCAGATGAGGTGTATCACACTGCCGAGGTCTACGTGATGCTCGCCCGAGCCCAAAATGAAAGCCTCCGGGACCACTATCTGGAGCCGAACGTAATGCGACACGATTCCCGTCCGAGTTGACACCTGGAATTATTAACGCACCATGTATACGGGCTGGACAATCCCCTAATGTCGTTAAGGTCGAATGTCGTGTATGTAAATGGAAAATTTGTGTGATTGATGTACTGTTTGTTGATTAGAGTAACGTTTTTGTATTGGACTAAGGTTGTTTTTTTTAAATAAAGAGTAGGATATGTTTCTTTTAAAATCTCATTGTAAAAAGAAAGTTAAGTAGTAACTTTTTGTATCTTCATGTCGTACATAGGAAAATATCACTTTGATCTTATCAAACTAGTGTAAGCTGTAGTTCTCGGCTTAAGTAACACTATTATAAAATAATGTATATAATTTATGCTAGTAATACATATTTTAATTAAAAATGTATTTTACTTTAACTACGGCCCCACGTTTCGGACGTTTTACAGCGGCCATGGTCACGTAGGGAATGAAGATGGTGGGCGTCCCTACTGTCAGAGTCAAATCTGCTACGCCAGCGCTACGACGAGATAGATGGCTCTAGCATAACCGATTTCACTTGGATTTTATGTTTTATTTAAATGCCGTATTTGACTTAAAAAAATCATGATGATTATCTTTCCTCTAAAAGTTATGCATCGAAAAAAAATAAACGTCGAAAACAAATTCTAAATAACGTCGAACAGATAAACACCCAGGAATTTTAGCGGCCATTTTGCAAAGCATCCAATTTACAAAATGGCCGCGAGTGTTATCTAATTTACAAATATATTATGTTCTATAGTAACAAAATCAATATTGAACAAACAACTAAATGGTTCGCTGTAAGAATTACATAATATCGATCAGCTTACAACTGTTTAAAATTTTAATCAACAACTATTTGTCATAAAATTGTTAGTTTTACCACCATTTATCTCGCGATGTATCGATAAGGCATCGAACTCTTATCCACATAAAGATATGAGATTAGATTTACAAGGCTACGTTCTTGAGGGACGAAACTCCGCCGAGAAAACTATTTACCCAGTGAACTTAATTCTTTGTTTACAAAGAATTGTTCCTAATTAAATCAGAACGAGAGTCGGAGCTTTAATCAGAAGTAACGACTTCTTAATTCCTACACAATTCCTTGTCCAAACATTCAAGACGAGGGTAATATACAAACAATCACTTTTCTACGTGACTTGAATCCTAGATGTTATATGCTTGACTTTTACTCTGTTTTCATTAGGACGATCTGAGCCTCGCTGGTCTAGTGGTAGTAATGTGGTCTGGTGGGTTTTATCCCCACCAGGTCCAACGGGTTTCTAGATTTATAATTTTCTAAAACAAGTTGCACTTTGTCTAAAAATATATTTATGTATTTTAAATGAGTGGTAGGAATCACGAACTGTTTAATTGTACTTCGGTTGCAGTTTCTGGCCGGGGTCATCTTCCATCACGTGAAATCTGTGCTTGGTCTGTCCGCTATCGTTAAAAATTGATATTATATTGTTTACGTGTATTTTAACTGTCAAAGATGTTATTTATGTATGTAGATTGCAAAAACTTCTATTAATAATTCAATAAAAGATTTACTAAAGTTCCAAATGCGATGATGTTTTTCACATACTTCATATGGCATTCAAATTATATTTAGATTTAAGAAAATCGTTGAAAGCTATAGGCGGAATTTTAACCGGCATCCACAGCGTTCCGTGCTGTTGCTCTATCCAGTCTCTTCAACCCCTCGGTGCAACATTACTTCAATATGAACCCTAATGAATTGAAGTTAATTGTCTTTTGCTTTGTATTTTAAGAAATTATTGAAGATGAAATTACAGAGTTTAATGTTTGAAAACGTGGATATATTTCAACTAGTTGTGCCCGCGACATCGTCCGCGTGGAATAGTGACTAGGGGAAGAATTTTTACATATTTAGGCTGTTTATTATTTACGTAAAGGCGCATTTAAGGCATCCAATCTATGTTGTAAGTGCTACTTTACCGCAACACTATCACCTCACATCATTTCTACTCTAACTCCCACTCTCATTCCCAAAAGTCAAAGAAGAAAGTTTCATTGTTCTAGCTTCAAAAACCATGAATTTCCATACAAGCTTTCATTCTGTTTTTCAACCCCATCAACCTTTTTTTGGCACTAAAAAGTAGTCTATGTCCTTTCTCAGGTTCTAAAATATCTGTGCACCGAATTTCATTTAAATCAGTTCAGCAGTTTCGGAGTTAAAGCGGGACAGACAGACGGACAAAGTTACTCTCGCATTTATAATATTAGTATAGATAATGGCATGAATGCTGGTTCAAGTCTTGCTCGTGACGTATTTTTTTTTTCAGAAGATTTTTTAATTTAAATAAAACACTTTAACGGTTGGTGCAAAGCATCCGAAACGTCGGGCCGTAGTTAAAAATCATTTTCAGATAAGTTTAACTAATATGTCGCGTTTCAAACCGTTAAAGTGTTTTATTTAAATGTGTACTACTCGCGTAAACTATAGACAGTATCCTTGATTGTAAGTTAATGTGTATTTATTTCTCCTAACATAACTCTCGCGTCTCTACAATCTTGTTACCCATGATTTACGATAACTTAGACGTCAAAAGTTTCCCAAACATAGTTCCATTAAGAATGTTTTGCGAAGACGGCCATCGCTAAGCGATCCTTTTGTGCTGACCCACACAGATGATTCATGACACCTTATTTGTTGAAGAGTGTGCCCTTTACACGACCCTCGCTCTAGGGTTGTCGATGGGACCCTCAATACCCTTGGACCGCAAACAATATACATTACCTGGCGAACTCACGATAAATAGCCGTTACAGAAATTTGTCTATCGGAAGCAGTGAGTTTTCAAATAAAAAGTATACAGACAAACAATATTTTTTATACTTTGCGTGTTTATATATACCGCTCACTATCAACTTTTGTTTGTTTGAAAGCGCTAATCTCAGGAAGTTCTGGTCAGAATTGAAAATTTATTTTATGTTGGTTAGAACATCTATCGAGGAAGGCTATATAACGTTACGACTAATAGGAGCGAATAAATAATTTATTTTTACTAGGGGCTGCAGCTGTCATCTCTTCGTAACCAAGGCAGTTACAAAGCATACCTAACGACGGGCCGTGGTTAAAATAAGTAAATATTTCGCGTTATATACCGTTAAAAGTGTTTTAATTTACCCATTTATTGAATCATATATTTCGGTGGTCTCAAATGTCAGCCCTAGTGTTAGGGAACCGCAAATATCTTATTTGAAGCGAGAATTGCGGAACCCGATACGAAAAATTTTCTTTATGTAAATAGCTGCGCCATCTCTGAACGCTAAAAAATTCAGAGGGCCTCCTTCAGCGCCTTTTGTTTCACTTTCGTCGTATTTGGAAAATGGAAAACTTAATTCTGGCGTCTGGGCTTTAATGCCTATTGTAGCTTTTTAATTACGGGCGTAATGTTATGCTCAATTAACTTGAGGAGTGTCTACTGTACGTAAATGAACGGCTTGGCGTTAACTGTGTAGTCTATATGTATGCGTCTGCGACTTTGTCCTCGTGAAAATTGTTTTGGGCATCATATTATTTATTTTTACAATTAACCTCAAGCCTCAGCTTTATAAATTATGGCTGTTACCCATCATGTAGTCCCTGTTGAAAAAAAATTTGACTTGGGCAGGACTTGAACCGACATCGTCAACGTTCCATGCTGTTGCTCTGAACGCTGACGACGCCGGTTCAAGTCCTGCCTGAGTAACATTTTTTTTCAATTTATTTTCGATTTTTAAATTATATAGTGCCTTCATGTGCAATACATGTAAAAAATAATTAATGTTTTCAATCCTTTACGTATCATACAATTACTTAGGAAGCTGTTGGTAAAACAATTTGTAGACAATATAATTTTTCATTACGTAGCGAGCTCGTTTTAACAACCATAATTAAATTTTTCTCTCCTGAATTCAGATTACGGTAAGTTTTATTAAATGAAAATCTCGTTTGGGTTAAAATAATTATAAAGTAAAAAAGGAGATTAAAGTACGTTGCGAGATCTGACAGCCGCTATTATACCATAGACATAATCATGTTCAAATCTATTCAAAACCTAAACTTCGTTACCATTAAAACGGTAGTTTTGACTTAATTTACAAGTGACAGATATTGTCGCCGACTTTTTCAAAATCGTTTAATGAATAAAAATATTTTTTACATATTTTTCGGTATCGTAGCGCATGCAACGGACGCCCTCAGAGATGAATATTTCTTTCCGTTTTTTCTACATTTACCACTATTTCATCGCATGGTCACATCGTGATGTTTTAAAGTTTGAATAATATAAAATGGTATTTCCAACATTGAAATAATGTTTCAATTCGAACCAGTAGTTCCAGAGATTAACGCGTTAAAACAAACAAATAAACTCTTCTTAATATAAGTATAGATATTTGCATAATAATAGATGTACTGAGAATCGAACCTGCTACACCGGAAAAATATGCCGTCGGCATATAACTCGAAGTAAGTTGGAAATGAAAATAAAATGACTTATAATTTAAAAATCGAAAATAAATTGAAAAAATTTTCGACTCGGGCAGGACTTGAACCGGCATCATCAGCATTCCGTGCTGTTGCTCTACCAATTGAGCTACCGAGTCTGCAACCGAGCACGGAAAGCTGATGATGCCAGTTCAAGTCCTGCCCGAGTCGAAAATTTTTTCAATTTATTTTCGATTTTTTAATTATATAGTGCCTTCATGTGCAATAACATGTGAAAAATATTAATGTTTTCAAATAAAATGACTTATTCGGATTTGAAGAACGTGACACGTCTTTAAATTTACACTAACACATAACGCAGAGACAAATCTCATTTAAAAAGTCGAAAGCGAACTCAAAATAAAGTGGACGATACATTCTCTATTAAATCCATTTGGCAAATGTATAAAGTGTTTTATTTTAGCACTTCCATTAGCGTTATCCGAATCCGGGAACACTTGCAGTTGACTTGTTTACTTAGTTTTCAAGTAAATTGCACGATATTAATGCAAGTTCAAAGGGAA